TAAACCACAAAAAAGCAAAATATGAGGGATTGAGAGTTTAGAGGTTACATGTAACCCTATCCATCCAATATAGAATACATTTAGGCATGCGCATACTACAAAAAGACCAACAAAAAGCAAAATATTTAGAGGTGTTGAAGAGTTTAGGGGTTACATATAACCCTAGCATCCAATATAGAAATGCACTTAACACATCCTATTCTAAACAAGCCTAATGTTTCCCAAATAGTCATTCATGAATTCAGTATCAGCATAAATACTCAAAAATGGAAGTTAATATCAAAATTATCTCCACTTGGCATATGGTACTAAAAAAAACGAATTTAATAATAATAAAAAAGTAAACGACAAGTTCCCACCCCTGGTTTCATAAATTCCACATTCTCATCCTTAAATTAAAGCTGTTTCATTTTTTTAACAGTTACGGGCTAAGACTGTCATTTACTATATTTTAAAACACCCTCATATCCAAGAACTAATTAAAATCGAATCCTAACAACGAAAACCTCACATCAATCCAAATTAATAAAAGTCAAAATACATGTTAATAATAGATTGGATCTAAAATTTTAATGATATAATCCCTCTCAATCAAGCAGCACCCGCCCTCTTTGTGTAATTTTTTGTTGTTTTTGTATTCTGGTAAAAAAAAAAAAAATTTGGGTCATGTCTCTGTTGAATTTGTTGATGAAGATCTAAGTTGTTTATTTTGTTGATTAATCCACAGTTGATGAAGTTAGTTTAACATGGAGTTGATGAAGTTGTAAAGAGATTTGTTTAATTTTGTTGATGGGTGAGAACCGAGTAGTTATTGGGTCTAATGAAAGGGGTAGATCCAGAGAATGAAGAGTTTATATATTTCTCTTTACTTGTACTTGGGTTATTAAGGATCTGTTTTTGTATTTTTTTTTTTTTTTTTCTTGGAGTCTATTAAGAAAACAATTTAACAAATAAAGTATGGCAGGGGCAGATGAAGGAGATAAAGATGGGAGGAGAGTTGGAGGAGGGGGGATGAAGAAGAAGAAGATGGGAGGGCAGTTTGGTAATAGTGATGAGGGGAGATGAAGAAAAAGAAGATGGGGGCAGTTTGGTAATAGCACCTTCTCGAATTCAACCGTCGTTAACTATGTTAATTTAGGAGGATGGGAATTTGGAATTTATAAAACCAAGGATGGGAACTTGTCATTTCGTTAAACCTTAGGTGGGAGCATGTCGTTTACTCTAATAAAAAATACTAAAGCTCTCGAATGCCCATAATTCCTTACCTGAAATCTTACATCAGAAACTCTGTACGGTACAAAACCTCTCATTCTTTCCTATCCCTGCCTCTTGAAATTCCAACAAAAAAAAAAAAAAAAAAAAAATCCGCTGAATTATAAACAACAAGAAGACATTGATATGGTATATAACTATAAATATATTCCTATTAAAAATGCTTATGAAATCAACATAGTATTGTTGAATGGAAAAACACTAAGCTTTACTGAAAGCAGAAATTTAAAAACTTCTCAGCTTCTCCAATTTTTTCCTATAAAAAAAGAGTATGGACCAAATTTAGAGATGGCTATGGGCCCAAGATTTTTGGATACCTGACCCGAAAAGGCCGGGCTTTACCCGTAAGTGACGGGCTTGGGCTTGGGCCTGGGCCTGGGCTTGATTTCAAGGCCCGACCACAGGTACGGGCTGGGTATGGGTATATCTTCAGTCTCGGCCCAGCCCGAAAATTTTAGTGTCAATTTTACTAATTTACCCTTATACTATATATTTAATTACAGTATTATCCTAAGTATATATATCCATTTTTCCCAAACCCTAACCTCTTTCTCATCCCATTCCCTAAACTCTCCCCACCTGCTGCCCTTCCTAACATATATCTCTCTCCATTTGCAATTCTGCAATCTGCATCTCCGTCGCCACCGCCTGCTTAGATAAGTAAGACTCTTGACTCTTTTTTTTTTTTTTTGGTGCTTTTCATTTGTCATCGAAAATCTGTGGGTTTCGTTTTTGAGATGGTTTTTTATTTTTGAAGTTCTGAATCTTTTGGGTTCTGGAGTGGAAGAAATTGAATGAATGAATGTTTTGCTTGGGATAAAAAGATGTTGAAAGGTTGATTTTTTGAGATGTTCTGGTTGTTTATGTGGGAGCGTTTTCATTTTTTTTGACTGTATGGAGATGGACTCCCTTAAGACTTGTTTTAATGGGGTTTTGGGTTAATTTAATTTCAGGAGTCTGTAGCTTTTCTTTTGCAGTTTCCAGCAAAGTTGCAGTCTGTGCAGAGTTGGGTGTACTGCAATGGAAGCTCGGGACTGTTAATGCAGTTCTGTTTTTGAAATTGCAGTTTCCATCAGATGTGGAGAAAAGGTTTATGGTTATAAGAGTTTCAATCTTGTTATAGTTAATTCGTTATCCCTCCGGTTGTTCTGTTCTGTTAATTTGTTGTTCGTTTCTAGAGAACATTTTTACTAGAATATTTTATGTGAGCTTCAGTGGTCCCAAACCTTTTTGTTGGTTCCTAACCTTTCGTAGATCAGCACTTGGTTTTTACTTTTTACTAGACTTATCACACGCATCAAAACAAACAAACGAAGCATACAAGGGGAGAGAGAGAGAGAGAGAGGAGTTAAAATACTCAACAAAGTTCTTGCAAGCAATTATAAGTCCCAAAAAACAAACTTACATACTCTTAATAAAAACATCAGGCTAATCCTATTCCCACCAGTCCACAACCAAAAGCCAGATATCCCAAATTTTCACTTGAAGTAGCTTGCTGAATGTTGATTCTTAGCTTTGGAGTTGTTTCATATAAAGTTGTTCTTGTCAGTGATAGGCTGATTTTTCTCCAAAAATAATTCGTGCTTCCATATCATAATGTAAATCTCTGTTGCAGGTGGTAGAGATTGGCAAGGGGAGTAAAGTGAAATACGAACTCGACAAGACTAGTGGTCTTATAAAAGTGAGATTCTCTTCTTCTTCTTTTATTAAATTTCCTTGAACCCTTGAATTAGATTTAAAATATTGCTATTAAAATATAATTTTATCTTATCCTATTAGTTTTTTTTTGTTTTTTGTTTTTGTCTTAATCATCCAACTTATGTTATTAGTAATAACTGAGCTTGAAGGAGTATTGTAGTTGACTTTCATATGTTGCATAAAAATAGTGAGTGGACAGATTGAATGAGTTGAGTAATTGAATTTGACTAGGGGTGGTTTTTTTTTATAATGTAGAGGTTGGTAAGATTCTGATGGTAGTACATCAAAATGCTGTCACATGTTCCCCGACTGGAGCTTGCAAAACTTAAGGAGAGGTGGACTTACCCGACTGGAGCTTGCAAAACTTAAGGAGACAACAACTTAGAAATTTGTGATAGATTTTATTGTTTTGTATTTGTTCAGATTTTACTGTCTCAATTTGCTTGTTGCTCTTATGGTTATGTTATACTTTAAAAATGGATGAATGCACTTTGTCGAATGTTATTCATATATTTGGTAAGTATTCAAAAATAAATTAATGTTTAAAAACTGTTTCTAAAATTAAAAATATAAAAATAATTGACATTATAAAAAAATGGGGGCTTGCGCCGGGCCTGTGGCCATAAAAAGCCCGTCGGACTGGGCCTGGACTTTGCCTATCATACCTATGGCGAGCTCGGGCCGGGCTTGGGCCTGGGCCATCAGGTCGGACTTGGGCCTGGGCCAAGGGGTACCCGGTCCCTGCGAAGCCCATTGCCATCACTAACCAAATTCTTTATAAAATAGCAAATTTATATTTAATTTGTTTACATCTATAAAAATTAATACTTTTAATAGCATTTTTCTATTGACAGAATCAGCTTTACTTGCATATTACAGATTACTCAACCATCCTCAATTTTGCATAATCCAATTGCTTTATAAGCTTGATTGAATTGAACAATCTTCTGGTAAGACAATTCAAAAATTTATCTGATACCGAAATAATAAGATGACTGAACAATCAAGAAACAATTGATACGAAAAACCACCACTGAATGTATCAAGTTCAGATACTGGATTGAATAAGCAACCACAAAAGGTTCTTAAACTTTTATTTAATGAAAATAATCATAAAAAAACTGCCTTATTACGGCTATAACAGCCTTTTTATAGTTTGCCCTAATAAAAAAAAATCAAAGAAAAAGAACATTAAACAATTATCACCAAAAGGTCCCAAAACATACAAAAAGTTGCAGATAAATCCAAAAAACTCTAGAAGTTTGCAAACACACCTGCAAACATAAAAAAAAAGCCTAAAAACCCATTTAAACGATTCCGAAAGCTAAAAAATGGCAAAACTCATGATTGCCACAAGCCTAACTTATTTGATCGTTTCGGAGTGCCACGCCAAAATTCATCGCATTCTGACATCGTCAGCACTATTCATCACTGTTTATATGATACTGTTCATTAATGCATCATTAACATTATCCCTTAACTTTGTGGCTGCAAACCAAATCAAATCAGATTTACACTGAGAAATTCTCTAAACATTTTATTTCTGTCATAAAAAGATGCCCAAAACTCATGATTGCCACAAGCCTAACTTATTTGACCGTTTCGGAGTGCCACACCAAAATTCGTCGCATTCTAACATCGTCGACACTATTAACACTGTTCACTATTTATCACTGTTTATATGACACTGTTCATTAATGCATCATTATCTCTTAACTTTGTGGCTGCAAACCAAATCAAATCAGATCTACACTGGGAACTTATTTAAAAATTTTATTTCTGTCATAAAAAGATGCCCAAAACAAAACTAGAGTTCTTCATAAATAGAAAATGTATTTTCTTTTTCTAAATAGAACATATAGTTGAAAAATCTTGTTCCTAATTAGCAAATTTAACCCTAACCCTTGGTAAGAGGATTAGGTTATGTACTTTATATGGCTTGATTATATTAATATGCATGTATTTGATGGCTTCAGGTAGATTATGGAACGGCTATTCCTCTACCTTTCAACATGGAGATTCTGAAACATGCAAGATTTTGCTGCATGCGAAGGTTCCTCCCAAAGTTAAATTCCACAACATATGTGGGATCAATCTTGAGACACCTCACAGTGTTGGGTATGGTTTTTATTTTAAATGTTCCATCAACAGTTAAGCTAGAAACATGTAGCATTAGGTTGAAGCTTAAGAACTTAAAGAATTTTTGCTATTTCTAGGCGGGTATTTGTCTTCTTTGATTTTACATTTACTGTGCAGTTATGGAAGTGAAGATGCACCTGTTGCAGATTTATCAGAACTAAGATTTCTCCAGGTCATTGTCCTCTAAATATTCCTTCTCATGTTATGTAGTGTAATTTCTGAAGTTAATATGTAACAGGTGTTATATATGGCATAGTTTTCTCCTCTTTTCATTTTTATCTTAATGTCTTATCGGTATGTAATGAATTTTTGCTTTTAGTGATGTATTGGTTGCAAAATTTCATATACCTTTGTATATTTGCAGGCTAAATATGTATGTGTTGATGGCGGTGGGACTGTTCCAACTGAATCAGCCAAGGTTCTCTAGCTTCCGTGTTAAACGATTATTTCCGATGTGATGATCAACCATATTAATTATGCTATGAAAATTAAAAACTGAAGCTGTCATTTGATTAATATTGTTGTGACTAGACAATTACGTTGATGTCAGCTCAACAAGTGTCTAAAAGATAAAGTGTACTAGCTGTTAAGCCCATACTACCTCAAATATATTTATACCAACCCTATCTCCTTTTAAGAGATGGACAGATGAGAGCTCTCCATGTGTTGTGGCAACTTGCAAAACATTCATTACATTGACCTCAAAGGTGTATAAATAGACACCTCTCTTCATGAAAAGGGGCCTGAGCAGATGAGAGTTAGACGTAGATTTGAGTTTTATTATCTTTCTCTGTAAACAAAGTTTTTCTCTATCTTTGTATGTCTTACGGGCAATATCATAGAAATAGTTAGAGAATAGCAAAATAACAGTAGATGTAAGATCCGTTTTAAGCATCCGAACCACTTTAAAAACCTCTTTTGCCAATCTTTTATTTATGTTTTTTGCAAACATATATAATCTCAGCACTATATTTAAATCTCATGAATCCATCACGTGTAATTTCTAAGATTCTCTTAGCACTTTACACGTGTGAGTCGTTGGAGTCAAAATCAAGTACCAACAACTATAATAAGATTAAGTGGCAAAATCAAGGTGCTTCTTTGTTTACTGATGGCATGATTTTCTATGTGCGCATATATATATGTGCTCTTGTGGCATGTGTACTTTCAAGCGTGTTTCATACACAGTTATTTTTCCTGTCACTGAACTGACAACTCATCTGTGTTATATAGTGTATCAGAACTGGGAATGTGGAGAAATGTTGACTGGTTGGCTAACAATCAACTAGAACTCTTAGGTGTATTATTTAAGAGGTTTTGAATTTGATTTATCTAGATTGTTAATAAGAGTGGCCATTGAGGGAATTTACTCGATTGTCAACTTTAAGACTCCGGGGAATTAGTTGAGATGTGCGTAAGCTTAAAAAAAATGTTGACAAGAAGTAGTGTGATATAGACATAAAACTTGAGTGCCCTGGGGCTTTTGAGGATATTATTTATCATAATCATAAGTTTTATGTTCTACTCTTCTTTGGTTGTGCTGTAACTATGAAGTCTGAATCTCTGGTTGTTACTCAAGTTGGAACTGATGCTGCGTCAGAGCTTAATGTTTGCTGCGGAAGATTGTTCGCATTGCTGGGTAGAGTTGAATAATCATTTGTTTGTGATTATTAAGGTTTAACTGATTTGCTGGCTATTGGTTAAAGAGTTTCCGAAATGTAAAGGGGGTTTATTATGCATTTCCTATGTCTTTTGACTGTTACCCAGGACACAATACTTTAAAAATATGATCGACTTGGGCCTCTCTCAGAATTTCCAGGCTATTTAAACCTTTCCTGGCCTCCACCAGCTTGGTTAAAGTAAGTGTTTCTTTGTTCTAGCTGTTTCAATTTTCAACTGAAATGCATCTTAATTAGCCTTCTCTGTGTGGTTCTATCTCCATAGCATGAAATTAGTCAATTCTCAAGTATATTTTTTGTATTATTACTCATGTGGTCTGTTTCTGATTATCTCAAACAGTAAACTTTAGAAAAATATGAACCGTTTACTGTTTATGAGTCTGTTTTTCACTTTAAAATATTTTGATACTGTAAATGAGTCGTTTAAGCTCTTTTAAAACCATGTGATTTAACAGCTGATACTATGGATGAATATACAACTTAATTGACTTAATTATCATATGATTAATTCACTACAAAATTGCCAACACAAAGAAGTTTCATCTTAGTCACCTTCTATATATACACTACTCTCATAGATAACAAACTAAAAAAGTTGCTAATAATGAATCAACACCAACCATAATCTAACTTAGTGCTTAGCTAATTAATTAAAGTGCTTCCAAAGCACCCACTAGAGCAAATAATTCATAATCTACACAATGAAATGCCCCACCATCTCCACATCCACACTCTTCATGATGACCTCTCTTCTTCAACCTCTCATTTCTTTTCATCTCCACCAGCTTTGGAACTTCAACTTTCATGGCTACTTGCACAGAAGGAGGCTTAACATCTTCGTTATAAACCCTAGTATTATTACTTTGCTTTGAAGGCATCACAACCCAGTTTTCTATCTCCATTTTTGGTGATTCAAGGACTTTTTCCCATGAAATTTCAGCTCTTCCCAAGAGTTGTGACTTGCATTTTTTCCCAAGAAATGATGGGGTTGTCCTTCTCCACCTCAGCTCAAAAACTACACTTTGTTGCTTCAAGTTGGAGATGGAGTCTTCACTTCCTAAACACTCCAATGAGAAGGACTCATTCCAGATGAGATTACCAGAGCTTGGTGAGATCTCTTTTGTGTTTAGTTGAATTCTCTTGTTGTTGCCTGCAGAGAGATAGTATCTAACAAAGAGTCCACCTTTGCTGATGGACTTATTGAACTCAATGTTTTTGGCTTTTATGATTCTTAGTTCACAAGAAAGTGAAGAAAGATACTGAGGAGGATGAGCAACCATTGTTGTGATCTAGAATATAACTTCTAGGTATCAGCTAGTCCAACTGGTTGAATTTCTCGTGAGATTTATATAGGTTTCAGAATCGAATTTCGAGAGAAGGGTTTGGTTTCTCTAAGCTTAGAATTGAAAAGGAGTTTGTTTGTGAAGAAGGGTTTGAGATTATGAGGGTATATATATATAGTTGGTTCATGCATAGGAAGACAATTGAAAGAGAAGGTGGTGTTTGCTTTTATTAGAAAGCTTAATATAAGTCCATAAAGAAATGAAGAAAGTGCGGTTAGATTGAGCACCTAGATCATAGTTTTAATATAAAGTATAATATAATGTTAAGAGATCCATGAAGGGAATCATAGGAGATTGTGAAGAAGATTATATTGAAGTAAAATAAGCTCTTAGGAAGCATGAAGAGGCGGATATCATAAAAATAACCCTTTGCAAGTAGGCATTTGCATTAGTGTTATTGGGTTCAAGTGCTTTCAGGATTCTAGTTGATCTCTGTAGATGTGATAAGAAAATCTGTATATGGAAGTTATAGCTGGAGTTTTGACTGTCAAAAAGAGTGGTTTTGCCCAATCAATTGCATGCCCACCTGGAAAATCTTGTGGATGTATACGTATATCATTTCTTGATTGTGCTATACACCTTGATCATGTTTATCTTCTATATACTTCTATCATTTTAATGTCAGTACTTCATTTACTTTTTTGTATTAAACTAAGACTATTGAGAACTGTTTAGTGTTTCCACAAATTATATCACTTAATTCATCTTCTTGTATTTAAGGTAACTGGAATAAAAAATACAAGTATAATATTGGGTGACTAGGGGTGTCATGGTCAGCTTATGTGCACCTTGACTAATCCCTCGAGACCCTGAAGTCAAAGACCGAGTAAACCTTCCAATGGCCAACTCTATTAGCAACTGAAGGGAATCGAATTCAAAATCTCTTGAATAATACACCTAAGAGTTTATATCCCCACCTGACCATGCAGGGGTGGTTACATACAAGTATAAATATTATTATTATTCCTCCATCAGTTTTGTCATCCCTCAACATGGCCTTGCATTATAAAGTTGATATATAGTTAACCATCGAATTTAATGCAAGTTGAAAGAGTTCTGTATAGTTGTAAACCACAAGTGAATAAAACTTAACACAGGCCTAGAGAGATTTGTGTTAACACTTGACGTTGTAAATTTCACGTTATAAGTTTATAATTTTTACGTTGATGTAATATATTGCTACAATGTTGTACTATAACAAAACCAATATGTATAGGGCTATAAAATAAACAAAATTTTTTACTTAATTTTTTGATACTGTTAATGGATTGTTTTAAGTTCTCTTTAAAATCTAAGTAATTTAATAATTGATATTTCAAGATTGGGGTTTGGGGTTAGGAGTTAAGGTTTAGAGGTTTTATATAACCAGGGGCGGATCCAGCCTAGTTTTGGGTGGGCTCTCAATTTTTTTTTTTTTTTTTTAAATACTAATATGTATAATGGCTAGATTTTGACCTACCCTAACAAAAATATTAATGTACAATTAGTTTTTATTTTAGCCCACCCTAATAGAAATTTCTGGATCCGCTATTGCATATAACCCTAGACATCCAATATAGAAATACACTTAACACATGCGCATACTATAAAAAGACCAACAAAAAGCAAAAAATTTAGAGGTGTTGAAGAGTTTAGGGGTTACATGTAACCCTATGCATCCAATATAGAAATACACTTAACACATTCCTGATTCATAAAACAAGCCTAATGTTTCCCAACAAAGTCATTCATGAATTCAGTATCAGCATAAATAAATCAAAGAAATGGATGTTAATATCAAAATTATCTCCACTTGGCGTACTAAAAAAACGGAATTTAATAATAATAAAAAGAGTAAACGACAAGTTTCCACCCTTGATTTCATAAATTCCACATTCCCATCCTTATATTAATGTTGTTTCATTTTTTTAACAGTTACGGGTTAAGACTCTCATTTACTATATTTTAAAACACCCTCATATCCAAGAAATAATTAAAATCGGAATCCTAACAAGGAAAAACTCAAATCAATCCAAATTAATAAAAGTCAAAATAAATGTTAATAATAGATTGGATCTAAAATTTTAATGATATAATCCCTCTCAATCAAGCAACACCCACCCTCTTTGTGTAATTTTTTTTGTTGTTTTTGTATTCTGGTAAAAAAAAATTGGGTCATGTTTCTGTTGAATTTGTTGATGAAGATCTAAGTTGTTTATTTTGTTGATTAATCCGTAGTTGACGAAGTTGTAAAGAGATTTGTTTAATTTTGTTGATGGGTTATTGCGGCTGATGAAGTTGAAATGAAAGGGATAGATCGAGAGAATGAAGAGTTTATATATTTCTCTTTTCTTTTTACCTGGGTTATTAAGGGTCTGTTTTTGAATTTTTTTTCTTAAAGTTTATTTTGAAAACAACTTAACAAGTAAAGTATGGCAAGGGGAGATGAAG